CCCTGCGCCCCAAGCTGGGTCCGCCGCGCTCCGCCAGCCCCGCGCGCGGGTCCAGGCTCCTCGGGGCCGGGACAGGGCCGTAAGCCCCGCCCCGCGCAGGCCCCGTGGGCACCACCCGGGGCCCCGGTTCCGGAGCCGGCTCCCGCGCAGGCGCCCTAGGCCTGCAGCCGCACTGGCCGGGTTGGTGGCCTTCCGCTCGCCGTGGTGTCATGGTGCCGCCGCCGCCGCTGTCGCCGCCTCTTTGCACGCTGCCACCGGGCCCCGGGCCCCCGCGCTTCGTGTGCTTTTGCGAGGGGGAGGGAAGCGAGGACGGGGGCCCTGGCGACTTCAACCTCTAGTGAGTGGCGCGGTGCGCGGGGCTCTGGGGGCGCGGACAGTTCGGCGGGCGGTCCCATCTGACAGCCGCTCCCCCCACAGTGTGACCGACGCCGCGGAGCTTTGGAGCACCTGCTTCACGGCGGACAGCCTGGCGGCCCTCGTGGGTAGCGGGGCTCCTGGGCGGGCCTGGAAGCCCCCAGCACCCCTTCCTGCAGTGTAGACCACCTATGAGATGGAGGGGGGCGGTCTGGGATTTCCCCGGGGGGGGCGGGGGGGGGGTCTGGACACCCTTCCCCCAGTTTTGTAGCTGTAGTCCTAAGATTGGCCCGGCGTCCCGGGTGGCTCTGGCTCAGGCAGTTTGGGGGTGGTTCCAGGGGCTTGAGCAGCTGGTGACCAGCCCCTGTGCCCTGTAGAAAGCCCGTTTTGGCCTGAGTGCGGCTGAGGAGATCACCCCCCGGTTCAGGTGAGCCCCTGAGCAGGGAGGAAGGGTGGGTGTGGAGCAAGGGGATCTGCACACGGCACTCAGCACCCCTCCTTTCCTAGGGCAGCCTGCGAGCAGCAAGCTGTGACTTTCACCCTGCAGGAGGACAGAGCATCCCTAACCCTTTCAGGGGGGCCCTCAGCACTGGATTTTGACCTCTCCAAGGTGCCAGGCCCAGAGGCAGCCTCCAGGTTGCAGGCGCTGACACTGAGCCTGGCCTACCAAGTGTGCACCTTGAAGAGCCAGCTGGCAGGTGGGGTGGGGAGGGCGTGCCCTGAATCTTCACTAGGGCCCCCCTGCTCGTGCCTCCACTCTTGTCTTTCTTCCCCAGCTGTGGAGGTGACAGCTGCCAGCCCCAGAAAGAGCCCTTGTCTGGTGGGGCCTCAGCTCTTCTTACCAGGTAAGGCCTGTCACCTAGCACTTTGGTTGGGGCTGTGCAACTCATTTTCCCCAGAACCAGATTCAAACTCCAGAGACACGATGCATGTGGAGAGGGGGTTGTGGCCCTGGAATTGCACCAGACTCAGGAACCCACCTCCTGTCCTGTTTTCCTCAGACCCGGATCCTCAGAGAGGCGGCCCTGGACTCGGGGTCAGGAGGCGGTGTCCAGGAGAGTCCCTCATCAACCCTGGCTTCAAGAGGTACTCACCCACTCACCCACCTGTCCCTCCCTCCTGTGCCCAGGGTCAAGCCCTGGACCGCTGCCCGCCCCCCGCTCCATAACACCACAGTGTCATTTTCCTTTCTCTCCCAGTAAGAAGCCAGCCAGCGGTGTAGACTTTGAGAGCCCCTGAAGGTACAGCAGAGTGTCACCCTGCCAGGAATCTGCCTGTGAGGTGAGGACAGCCTCTGAGACCCCACGGTTGCCACCTGCCCATCCTGCTGTGCCGTAGGAACACACCTGCTCCTCAAACCCCTTCTCCATCAAATAAATGCTTCCTCAGAGGAAGGCACCGGTCACGCTCCGACTTCTGGGGGCTGGCTGGGGGAGAGGGGTCAGGGATCTCCCTGGGCCTGTGATCTGGCATGGGGCCAGAGTATGTAAGCAGATGCACAGCCCCCACACTCCCTGGGAGGAGGAGGCCCCAAGCTCTCCAGGCTCACCCAGCTGCCCCTGCCTGGTTCCCACAGGAGCCCAGGGCCCGGAAGGCAGGGCAGGGCTCCTCAAGGCTGGAACTCGGTTACCAACTGTTCCAGGCACACACTTCACTCTCCCAGACCCCACCCGACAGGGCACAGCCACGGTATCCCACACTGCACACACACTAGGTCCTGTGGAAGTCAGAAGGTGGCCTGCTCCCTGGGGCAGGGCTGAGGAATGTGGGCTGGCCCCACCCACTGGCCTGGAGCCCCTAGGTGCCCAGGCTGGGCTCGGCTCCCCACCCTCCTTGGCCATCCTGCTGCCCCACCCTGGCCTGACTGGTTTGGGAGCCCAATCCAGTCCCCCACCACCCCTGATAGGGTGAGTGGAGGGATGGGCAGAAACACCCACTGGGTTCTCCACCCCTGTCATTCTGGGCGATCCTGTGGAGCTGTGCGTTCCATGGTGGGGCTTTGGGGGTGGCAGAAATCGAGGGCCCTCTGGTCCCTCGGAGGTCAGGACACGCTCACTGAGGCAGAGGTGCCTTTATGGGGCTGTAGAAGAGTGGGCAGGGGGTGGCTGTAGACGGTGGGGGAGGGGCTAGCGGGGGCGCACGGCAGTCCGGTAGGCCGCTAGGATCTCAGCACTGTATGGACACGTGTACTTGAACTCCTTCACCTGCAACGCGCTGTCCAGGTAGCGGCGGACGGCGCGCAGCTCGGCCGGTATGGGCGCTTGGCGGAAGTGTGTGCACACCGTCTGCGGGCGAGGGGCGGGACGCGGTCAGGGCCCTGTGGAGAGCGCACCCCCCCCCCGCGCCCCGCGCGTGGCACTCACGTCCACAATGTGCAGCTTGGGCAGCAGGCTGCAGTCAGCCAGCGTGAGCTGGTCGCCGTCCAGGAAGCGGCGGCGCGACTCACGAAGCTGTGGTTCCTGCGCGCGCTCGTGCTCCAGGGGCGTGCGCAGGTAGCTGTCCAGTCTGGTGAGGGCGCGCAGCAGCAGCTGGTACAGGGCTGGGGCGGGGAGCGCAGTGAGGGCGGGGCCTGGGCCAACTTCCCCCCACCCTCGCCATGGCTCCAGACCCTCCTCACCATCATCCTGCGTGGGCACCGGGTTCTTGATGAAGGCGGAGAACCTGTGAAAGACGTCGTTGCCCGCTGTGCTGGACTCCCTGTAGCGGGGCGCCAGGCTGGGGAATCTACGGGGAATTAGGGAATCTCTGGTCAGACTCTTGCGGCTTGCCCCCTGCCCGGCCGGACCCTCAGCGTTCTTCCTGGGTTCCTCCCTGGGGGCCCCATATTCGCCCCTCCCACCAGGCCGGGGCCCTCACTCAGGGGGCCCCAGTGTCTCCTCCAGAAACTCCTCGATCTGCAGTGTGTCCGTTTTGGCGTCACCATCGTAGAGAAGGATGGGCAGCTGCGAGCCAGGAGCAAAGTCCTTAAGCACATCCAGGGACCTGTGGGCATGAGGCAGGTGGGGAAGCCGCTGGTTAGAAGGGCCAGAGACCAGGGAGTGGCTCCCCTGGAGACAGGGGGCTCACCTGCGAGTGTCCACCGTGGTAAGGGTGAAGGGCACACCCTTGAGGAGCAGGAGCATGAAGAGCCGCTGACAAGAAGGGCAGTGTCCCACGCTCTCGCCATCCTCGCTCGCCTGGGGTGGGTGCAGTAGAGGGGGCCGGGGCAGAGAGCAGACTTAAGAATTCTGCCAATGAGAACACTGCCTCCCACTGCCAAGAGCCTGGAATGATCCCGGGCTCCAGCTTGTTTGTGCACAGCCTGGACAAGTGGTGGGTGAGAGCCCTTGACTGGGTCCCTGGGAGGTGGGCCCCTCGACCCTTATCATCAGCACCTGGGCAGAGGCCAGGCTCCTGGTCTCCAGGCCCTACAGGCTGGTCATAAGGGTGGGGTGGGCCGAGTGAGCTGTTGTCTGAGTGATTCACTTGCCAAACTGGACAGTGGCTGGCAGCACACTCACTGTCCCACGCCCCGACAGTGGGGAGGAGGCCAGGATCTGGCAGCCCCTGCACAGGGATCCACCAATCTGGGCAGTGATGTGAGCATCAGGGGATCACCTGGCCCAGCCCCCCTCTCCTGCTGCACTGACCTCAAGCTCCACTTGGGCCTTGGCTGCCGGCTGCCTGATTGGCACCCCTCCCCACCGAGGGGCTTTTTCTGCAGGAGGGTTGGGCTGGGTCCCGGAGCCAAGGATGGGAGTCGGCACCCCCACACCCTTGGGGACAGCTCACTGGGCCCTCCTCCAGTCCTGGTCCCTCTTTCCTCAGCCACCGTAGGGCTGCCTGAGCTCACCACCAGGCAGACGGTGCAGACCCACTGCCTGCCCCAGAAAGCAGAGCCCTCCCAGAGCATAGTCATCCCCGAGGCCACCCTCCCAGCCCAGTGGCACCTTGACAAACAGCTGGAGCTTGGCAGTCTCCGCCATGGCTAGGAGCTGTGGTGGCGCGGCGGCGGTGAGGCAGGGGTGGGGGCCTGGAGAGCGCTTTTAGACTCCCGGGGTGCCCCGCCCTCCCCAGCCCAGGGCCCGCCCTGACGAGTCACCCATGCAGGCGGTTAGGGCTCCGTGTCCAAGCATGAAGGTGTGACTATGGGGGTACTGAGTGTGCAGGGCTGAAGGGGGTGTGTGGGTTAGAGGTGGAGACCAACGGACTCGGAGGTGGGGAGAGAAGGGTGCCAGTTTGGGAAGAGGGCAGCTCTGGATCAGAATCACGCCTGCCATGAACCCCACAACCCTCCCTGCAGTGAACACCCTGTTATCTGTCGCCCTCCCCCCAGAAAGCTGGGGAGGGGGTAAGAGAAAGGAACAGCCTGGCCCCAGCCTCAGTTTCCCAATCTGCCTACCTCCTGGGAAGGGACGCCCCTCCCATCACCGAGTTGGGTCAGGCAGAGCCCCGCCCCCCCCCAGGCCAGCCCACATTCCAGGAGTGCTGCTGGCCTGCTCAGGTGTCCCTGGCCAGCTGACCCCACACCCCCTGCCCTCCCGGTGGGGTTCCAGGCAGGCTTTTCCCCTTCTTAACCTTTCAGAAGAAGCACCAGGAGGTTTAGAAGCCACAACCTCCTGACCCGGGGGTCCACCCGCCCCCGCCGTTGGCTGGAAGGAACCAACGCGGGGACGTTGTGTGCACACACCCCCAACCTTCTCTGCCCCTGTTGGCCCCCCCCCCACCCCGCAGCTCTGGGTCGGGGGGGGGGCGTGCCCCGAGGGAGAGGCCTACGAAGGCTCCACGCCACCCCGTGGCAGAGCTGGGGCTCTGCCCCGCACCTTTGCCTCCTCCCCCAGGGCCCTGCCAGGACCCCAGACCGTCCAGGGCTCCCGGACACAGCCTGGAGCTGGCCCGACAGACTGGAGCTGGGCACCTGGCTGCCCTCCGGGGCACCAGTATTTCTGCTGCTTCTCCACGACGTGGTGGGGGCTCGGCCTGCTCATCTGCTTCCCCTGCAGGCACCGCAGCCCCAGGGAAGGGCCCCGGGCCCCTCCACAGCAGCAGGTGCCCACCAGCCGTCCCATGGGTATTTCTGTGTATATAAAAATACCCTTACCCGTCTGTAGAAAATCGGAAATGAACCAGTGACCAGGTGGTTCAGAGAAAAGGAAATCTACCAACACCCAGCAGGGTGTGTGGGAGTCTTACTTCACACTTATTTCAAGAGACAAACTAGGACAGGACCGGATTCGGGGCTGACCATGTGCTCAGCGAGGCTGTGAGCACCCACCCCTCGGGTGGCTGTGGGCTGGCAAGACTGTCCAGACGGCTCAGCCCCTGGGAATCAGCCCCAAGTGTCCCTGTAAATGCATGAGGGACATATACACAGATCCGTGCTGTCCTCTGGGTGGCAAGCACCCCGTCTATGGGAGAGTCCTGGTATGTTCACAGAAGAGAACAGAGGAGGTGAGTCTCTCTAGTCTCAGGTTCGGGGGTGTTGTGACTGAATTGTGCCCCCCCCTTCACGGTGGAAGTCCTAGCCCCCAGCACCTCAGAATGTGACATTGGGACAGAGAGTTTTTACGGAAGTCATCATGTTAGAATGAGATCATCAGGAGGGGCCCTACCCCAGTCTGACTGTATCCTTGTAAACGGCAGATTTGGACACAAACACACATGGGGGGGTGGGCGCACCGTGAGGACGGAGGCAGAGGTCAGGTGGTGTCCACAAAGCCAGGCACACGGAGCATTGCCAGAAAACCACCAGCAGCTGGGAGAGCGTGGACCAGACCCTTGCCCACAGCCTCCGAAGGAACCAGCCCTGCCCACACCTTGATCTTGCACCTCTGGCCTCCAGACTGTGAGGGAATACATTTCTGTTTGTGGTACTTTTCGGCAGCTGTAGCACACCAAGACCAGTGAGAGGAAAAACCGACCCAGTTGAAAAACACTGCATCAGTATGTGTCCACCGGGGTCTGCTGCTATCCTTCTGAAAAAAGCCAAGAGGACGTCCTCAGACCTTTTGAATTTCCTACCATGATTTCATAGGCAATGTTTTTAAATGAATGAGACCAGAAGCTCACAGTCACCAACTTTAGCCCCTGACCTACGCGGGGCCTGGAGCAAACCTCCCTGCCGCCGCCGGGCCGCCCTTCCCTTCCTTCTGGGGGTTGGGGGGGGTGGGGGGCATTCTCGGCCTGCAGTCCCAGGAGCTGCTGGTCCTGGCCTCATCCATGCAGTAGCAGCGCTTCTCTCCTGAGCCCTGGCTGGGGGCCCTTCGCGGCAATGTTCAACAGTCTGTTCTGAAAGGAGACACAGACTTGTAGGGGGGCGGGGAGGGGCCCTGGGGCGGCAGGGGGTCGTGGCAGGACCGTGGACAGGTGTTTCCTGGCTCTGCCCACTGAGAGAGCCAGGTGAGCCCACCTGGAGTCCAGACAGGGGTTTCAAATACCATTCTGCCCAGAGGAACCAGGGCTCCTTGGAAAATGGCCGAATCCAGACGTGGGGCAGGGAGCTACAAAGCAGACCTGGACATGGTTTGTTTTGTTTTGTTTTAAGATTTTATTTATTTATTCGACAGAGAGAGACACAGCAAGAGAGGGAACACAAGCAGGGGGAGTGGAAGAGGGAGAAGCAGGCTCCCCACTGAGCAGGGAGCCCGATGCGGGGCTGGATCCCAGGACCCTGGGTCATGACCTGAGCCGAAGGCAGACGCCCAGCGACTGAGCCACCCAGGCGCCCCAGACCTGGACATTGTAACAGAAAGGAAGTCTCCAAAAACAAATGGCCAGGACGAGGCAAAAGGACACAGAAATCACCATGCAGGAGTCCCACTGGCCATATCCAGGATAGTTTGACCGTAAAAATGACAGCAATAGAATTGTACACTTACAATGGTTAAAACATTGTAAATAAATATTAAGTGTATTTTCTCACAATTAAAAGAAAATCTTTATTGGGTACCTGGGGGGCTCAGTCTTAAGCGTCTGCCTTCAGCTCAGGTCAGGGTCCTGGGATCGAGCCCCGCTTCGGGCTCCCTGCTCGGCAGGAAGCCTGCTTCTCCCTCTCCCACTCCCCTGCTCATGCTATCTCAAATAAATAAAATCTTAAAAAAAAAAAATCTTTATGATGACAGCCATGAATGACAACATGTTGATTTTTTAAAAACCCATGCATCCACAGTAATATATTTCTAAAAGTGAAGCTCTTTGAAAAAAAATACCAGTAAATAAACACAGAAAAGGATGAAATAATTAGAAAACCGCCATTTTGGGGCACCTGTGTGCTCAGTCAGTTAAACATCCGGCTCTGGGTTTCAGCTCAGGTCATGATCTCAGGGTTGTGGGATCAAGTCCCACTTTGGGCTCTGTGCTCCGTGGGGAGTCTGACTGGAAATTCTCTCCCTCTGCCCCTCCCCTGACTCTCTAAATAAATAAATAAATAAATAAATCTTAAGTAAAACAAGAAAGAATAAAAAGAAAACCATTTTGCAGCCCACCCCCTACTGGGGTAAAAGGTTTTGAGAAACAAGCTGTTCACATGAGCCTCCATCCTCCTGGGGAGTCTTCTGGGTCCCTTCCAGCCCCCTTGAACGGGTCTCTGCTGGGAGACTGACCATGGCCAAGCTCGAGGGGTGCTGATTCTGGGACCCTTCCTTGTGGCCTGTCTCCAGGCTCCATTGCTGCGGAGCGCTGCACCCCCCCACCCCCCGTTCTTGGGAGCCTCCACACTGCCTCCAACCTTTGACATTCCCTCCTGGACTTGGTTCTTAGCCTAGAGATCACCTCGTCCTGCAAGCACCCCCATCCCGGATGAGATGGACACAGCCCAGCACACACAGCCGGCCTGTGGTCCCTCAGTGGGCCCTGAGTCCCAGGGGTTGGGGAGAAGGTGGCAGGAAGTGCACACCCCCAGGGTGGGCAACATGGCACAAAGAAGCCCACTCAGGACCTGCCTCCAGGCAGGGAGTCCGGGCTGTGTGGGTGGGGCAGGGGAGGGGAGTGATGGACAGTCCCTGCCTCAAGTCCCCCCATCTGTCCCAACAGCTGTTTAGAGGGATGAGGGGCCCCACCCCCTCCTCCAGGTTAACCCAGCCACCTTCCCTTCACTCTGGGCTCAGTGCTCGGGGACATTGCATTTGTGCCTGTAAGGCAGAGACCATAACCTTGCATCAAGGGGGCCCATCTTCACCCCAACACCCCACTCCACATGTACAGGTTTGCATGGGCTTTTTTGTTTATTTATTTAAAACAAACATCTGTGCGCTATGTACAGGTCCGGCTCCCGGGTGGGTGGGTGTGCAGGGGGCCAAGCTGGGAGGGAGAGCAATGGCAGCTGGAGGGGGTAGGGAGGGGGTCTGGCCCTTGCCGGCCAGTGGGTCCAGCTTCTCCATTCCTGCCACCCGGCCCACCACCTTGAGGCAGCCCCTCCCTGGCCCACGCCCAGGGCTTCCCTCAGGTGGGGGCTTCCCTGCTTGACAGCAAGATGAGGAAGCCTCTTCCTAAAGCAAAATAAATAAGGGCCTGGAGACAGGACCTACCCCAGTCCCCATCCTCAGCCCCAGACCGACCCATCAGTACTGAGGATCAGAGAAAAGCCCATTCAGGAGGTCAGGCCTGGCCAGCAGAGAGTCTGGTAGTACCTGGTGGCCTGTGTCACCCCAGTGGCCCTAGGGGTGGCGGGCAGAGCTGGAAAGGGGCAGAGACTAGGGGCCGGCCAGACCCCAAGGCTTTAAGGCAGAGCAGGGTGAGGGTGTGCGCAGCCCAGGGCCAGGCCAACCTTTGGCACAATCAGGGGAGGGCAGCGCAGTGGCCTCAGGCAGGGCTGAGGACGGGTGAAGGGCTGGAGGGGGCACGAAACCCTAGGGTCCTGGACCTCCCGTTCCAGGGCCTTGTGGGCGGGCACTGGGGGAACGGGGTGGGGCCTCGGCCACCGCCTGACTTCTGTCCCCACTGCATGTCCTTGAGCCAGCGCCTGGTGGTCAGCAGAGTGTGTCCGTGTTGAAGGAGAGCTGGGCC